ATATATATATATTATTTATTTATTTTTTATTTATTTGTTCATTTATTTGAGTACGATAATTTTTACATAGTTATTTGTTTTTTAAATAATACTATCTGCGTGAAACTACTGTTGCAAAAAATTTAAATGCTTTGTTCACATTTTCGGTTTCTAATAAACGATCTCACTATGGTAGGAGAGCGTGATTTGGAAGAGCCACTTCTTGGTGTTTCGCTTACCACTTTTATCAGGATGGATCGGTTTTGTTAGAAATGAGATATTTTTTTACCATTTTCGATTTCTAATAAATGCTTGTGTGCCCTGTTTCTGTCGGAAGGAAAATTGTTAAACAAGTGTATTGTTTAAGTAAACAAGTGAAACAATCGTTATATGTTGTAGAACCACTCAAATGTACGCCTTGATGAAGTGCCCCGAAATGACAGTATTTGAACTTGCTAAGTTTGTAAAATGTTTAAAGATGAACTTTCGATGCTACACTTTCAAGATTTAATGGACAATTAGTGAATCTCCCCATTCTAGTTTTTAGGATGATCAGGGATCAACAGTGCAGAAAAGGAATTTGAATGAGTGTGGGAATTGCCTTAGCAAGTTACAACGGTGCTTATTTTTTATTAAATAATTTGAGGGTTTCCAGGTTGTCCGCTACTTGATGTACTGCAAAATATCTCATTGGGATGACAATGAAGTCATGTAATGATCATTGTTGTCGAATTATGCCTCTGCTTGCAAATCTCATTTTTGAAAGTTACGATGAAATAATACATACACTTCTACATGATCGGAGTAGTCATCTGTTTCAATAATAAATGTTTTATGAGACCCAATAAAATTCATTCACTTCAATGCCTTTTAACGCTCCTTACTCTTGGAAGACATAAAGATTTATTACATTTAAGGTAAAACATCTGTAGTCAGCTTTTCATCAACAAAGTTCAAATGGGTACAAATTTGTACAGTCCATATCTTGACATAGGGTTCTCATGCATGCTCAATCAAGACTTGTAAATAATGGCTTTGGAATAATGTGAAATGACTGGGTTATGTTAAGACTTATTTTTAGTTTTGGTAGTCATGAGTAGTTCTGATTATAAAAAGATTTTCCGTGAATGTTGATACAATAATCGACAAATTTTATTAGCATCCCAAAATTCGTTTAGTGCAAAAACTGAAAATATTTGGAAATTTGAACCAATTAAAAAAGTTCCGATCGCGAATAAGAAACTTCAGCAAGTAGGAGGGATTGAGAAGCGTTACTTTTTCTGCACTGAGTCTTATTAGTATCTAACTTGTGTGTGTGTGTTTTTTTTATACACTTTGTTACTAATGTCTTTGAATCATTTTTTTTGGATTCTTTCTGGATCTTGACAAGATGATCTCTATAAATTTTATCTAGAAATTATACTTTATTCAGTCTCCATCAGTCAAATGAATTCATTAATTAGTTATTGTAATGAAATTGTCTGTGGCAACTAGTGAAATTCCGTTCTATTATTATTTTTCTATAATTATCTGGGATTTGAAATGCTAGGTACTTTTTTTCGAGTGTTGCAGTTGTCGCTGCTAGGACCAGCGTTCATCACTATAATCATAACTGTCACTGTGATCGTTATGATTGATCAAAATTAAGAATTGTGACCTAATTGATTGCTGTTGTGGTCGCAGTTACCGATTACAATCAGGAAAATTAGTGGCATTGATTCTTAAACAAACTGATTATCTTCTTTTCCACTAGAATCAGTGAATAATAATGATTATTTAAAAAGAGTTAAAAAAAATGAGAACAATGGTAATAGTCCATCTTCATTCTCTTTACTCAACCACTGTTATAAGTCATTTCAGGTCATTATCAGCATCTTTCAAAGGTTGCAGTAGCGTAGAAATTTGTATTAAAAAAAGTACTGGTTACGAGAAAAGCTGTGAGAAGGTTAAATGGTCAGTGAAATTTAGTTTCGCTCATATTTTGAGCTTCGTGTAAACTGGAGCTCTAAATTTAGAAAGATTTTATATGCTTCTATGAATCACTCATCTTCTATTAGCAATTCAAGTTTTAAATCTCGTGATTTTGAAAATTGATAAAAGAAACTACCGACTTGTAACACGATGTTTTGCATAGATGCTAATAGAGACGATGGGAGATGTCATTTGAAAATAAATATTAGTGACAATTGCCACTTTAAAGCGCATCCATTTATAAAATGTAAAACAGGTTTGGTACATTCGGTGCTTTGATGTCACAAACATCTTCGCCTTTTGTTCCCTCTTACTAACCCTTCTCGATTTGTCACTAATTTTAGTCATTGAAATACTTTGCTTCTGCTCACTATACATTGTCTTTCCAAATATTACGCATATGTCTGTCTCTCTCTTTCCTCTTTTGTCTTTACATCTCACCGCGCAATTCTTAGTAAAAATTTCAATTAATTAAGAATGTTGCCCTTCTCCACGCGATAAACTTCAAGAAAATTCATTTATTTCCTCTTATTCAACCACCATTTCTTTTTTTCTCTTTCTGTCTTTCCCCTGTTCAGACTGAATTATTTTTTTTCTTTCATGTTTCTGTTCCAGCGTGACATGAAAACTGGTCTTGTTTCAAATAATTTACTCAGCTACTGTTGTCTATCTGAAACATTTGGTCTAGTGATTGAGGGGAAAGTACAGGAAGGTAAGATGATGTTCTAGAATGCACAAGAATTTCGTGTAGATAGTTAAACAAGGGATTGCAAAGTACGCGCTCCTGTCGCGCTTTCGCCAATAATTCTTGAAAGATTGTCTGCGGTCGATAAGTACTATGTATTCCGGTATTCCCGAGATCTCGGAAATTTCTTCATATTCTTTCTGGGAATCACAAGTCTAACCTACACCGTAAATGGAACAACAAACACCAATGAGCCATAATTTTGCTTATAATTTTAGTTTTTTCACAATGGCCGTCGGTTTTCGGTTCTGGGGCCGACTGCAACCGCTGCATTGTGTGATATAAATATCAGTCAGAAAATTAGTACATCAGTTGTAGGACGTTTAAGATCCTTCTTTTCGTATTTATTTAAGTTCAATTTTTAATTACCACCATACCTTACACACAAAGTAATAACACTGCCTTAACGAATACCATCATCCTGATATGATCAAGTACCACTGCTCTGTTCAAATGAAGTACCATAAGCTTGGTCAAATTATCATAGTCCACTAACCAGACCAAGCACGACACCTTTATTGCACCCTATCTACTAACGAGCGTTTCAACATATTACAAAATTCTATTTTTACGGTTAAATAAATATTCATCAAAAGGTCGACTGTAAAGAAAACAAGTTGAATCACGTATATATACAGTGCATGAAGATCATTTGGGAAAGTGACGACTGGCCTGGTTGTATTGTTGATTCGAGTATTACTTGCTTGAACTGGATACCTAATGGCAACAGTGCCGATACTGGCCTCTTAGCTACCGGTAAGCTCTTTCAGTCGATCTGCTTACTGAAATTTAATTTATACTTGGCTTAATTGTCACTATCAAGCATAATGATACTAAAGTATTTAACCTGCAACTCTTGAGAAGAAGGTCTGATATCTTTTAGTTCCTGTTATTTATCCTGATGCTGTTTTCAGCGGAAATAAACTGTCAGTCGCATTTTTAGGCGTGACACGTGTTTCACAGGTTTGTACGTTACATCAAAATTTGCTTGTTTCTTTTCCAGGATCAGAGTCAGGAGCAGTGGGAGTAACAGCGACACAAACTTGTCCATTACGAGACGACAACAAGAGAGTTAATTTTAATCTTCGTGGTCACCATGCTACGGTGAATATAGTAGCATGGAACAAGGAGCAGATGAAATTGGCGAGCTGCGATAGTTCAGGAATAATCTATGTTTGGGTACCGAACGAAGAGAGATGGAGTGTAGAGCTGGTGAATGATCGTGGTATTAAGGTTGGTGAAAGAGCTACTTCTGTTAAATGTATACGATAATTAAAATTTGCCCATGGAATGATTTTTAATTCAAAAAGTTTTGGTATTTATCTTATTTCTGATATTGAGGTTTGCAGTAACAACCATCCACTTTCATGAGTATTGGAAAAAGTAATGTCAAACTTGTGAAAACTTGGAAGTTAAGTATAGTAAATGTAATTTTAGGTTCGCGGTGTAAGCTGGAGCCCAAATGGTTTATCGGCGCTTATTTGTTATGAAGACAACTTTGTTTTAATTGGTTCTGCCACGGGTCAGAGGATATGGTCTAGTTCATTTCCGGTTACTGTCAGTTGCGGTGTTTGGGCTCCCGATTCGCGTGAAATTATTCTGGGGTTCATTAATGGTACAATTCAGGTGTTAAATGAGCAAGGTTACTTCTCCAATTTATTCAGCATTCGGTTGTGGATTTTTCTTGATAAAAATGATTTCATTATGACAATGAGATGAACATGCTTTGGGAACAGCGAGATATATCAGAGTTTCGCTTCTATAATTTCAAGCCACAAATGTTCCTTCTCATATAACGCACTGAAGCTTAAACACTCGTGATAATTTAAGTTAAAATAAATTGCCGAGTAAAGGAAGGGTTTTCACGGGATAAGATTTATTTTCTTTGTGAAAAAATTATGTGACTGAAACAGGATATGAATTTTCGACTCTTAGTTATATGAATTCATTTGGTTTTATTACTTTCAGGTACGACAGTTACAGAAAGAAAGGTGTATGTGAACGGTAGTGTTCGATTTTTAGCAGCATCTTCACGACGTAGGAATGATAGATGGACGTTAGCTGTCTGTTCTGCAATCGGTCTTCTTAATTTCTTAAATTCATATGATGAGGTTTATTTTTACAGAAGGAATTCATTATTTTCATCTTGATTGAACGCCTTTCGAAATAGGGGACGTAGGAATGGTAGGTAGACATTAACTATTTGTTCTTTATATTTGTTCTTTACGGGATTTAAGTTCCATTTTACAAAGAATTCTTACTTTTTATGAGGTAAAAGTCGATAAGTTGGCAAGTTTTAGTTTTGGATTTAATTAATTTTCTCTGGAAATTAGTATTTCCAAAATCGTTGATAGAATCTTTGATCTCTGTTTAAATTTACATTGCGTGCTAAAGTAGGACGATTAGTTTGGCAATTATTTGGTACTTCTTTAAAAGTAAAGGAGGTTTTATAATGTGTCAGTTTAAAATTTTAAGTCAAACCGTTTTATTTGTGCAGTTCAGTTTGGAAAAGGTCGCAGAAACAGTTGCAAAGTTCCTAAATTTGTTTATAATATTTTTTGTATATTCAGATTGATAATGCAAAATGGCAGTGTAATGAGACCCTCTTAAGCATTCAGTGGAATGCAAATGGTACACTGTTAGCTGCTGTTTGTAAAGAAAACCATTTCTTTATTATGACATATCAAGGAAACGTTGTCTGTGATAGCCAAGTTTCGCAACCTTCGGCTACTACTCTCAATGCATTTACGTGGGTTCATGATGATCGCTTCATTATTGCAACATCAGGTTTGAATATTTTCAAGTTTACAAGTTTTCTAATTGTAAAGTTTCTGGTTAAGACGGGTATTATATCTTTCTTACTTACCTGTATCCTACTGCCTGTTTACTGACTCGAAAGTTCGTAAGGAATTGTTGACTGTGGTTGCGAAGTAAGCACGTTGTAGGTGAAATATTTCAGGGAGGACGACGTACCTTTAAACATTGTACGTCTTCATCCTTTCACAGCATGCGAATCTTTTTTGCTATGCGAAATAAATTTGATTTCCTGTCTTCTGCTGTATTGGACTTCTGATTAGGTAATCATTTGGCTGTTGGACGGGCTCTACATGATGTGCCGTCGTTATTCAGTTTGGTTACTTACAACTTATGGCAATTATTGGGCGCATCCGCACGACATGTTGATATACTCCCATTACCTCCACGTGAGCGGGATGCTATTCGTGCGCTGGATCATCACATAATAAGAGTCGATTTTTACTTCTTTCAAATGCATAATTTTCAAGTCTGTTACTCGTTTTTAAAAAATTACAACCTCTTTTGAATCACTTTTTTTTTGGAAAAACCGCTTAAACTCTACCAATTTCCAGCGAAACTTTATGAATTAAGATAGTAAAAGTATAGGCTTCCATTTTCATATACGACATTAATTTTGCAGTGTCGTGTTCCATCACAAAATGACATGCTGATGAAGGTTTGTGAGCCCTCCGATTGGCGGTGGTATTGTACAATACGACCTGTGCCAAGTAAAGTTCATACATATGTATTGTGTATGGAGCACATGGCCGGCCTCATTCCTGTTCTACTCGGCAAGCAAACGAATAGAATCATTCCTCAGTTCCAGATTTCTCTCTACAATCCGAAACTGACATTGGTAAAATCGGATAGTGGGAGCTGTGCACAAGTTGGTGAGTGTTTTAGATCTTTCCTCATTCGACATTAGTTTTTACTGTGACATACCTCCCGAATTACGCACTGTTTCAGTTCAGAGTAGTAACCAGTTTTAAAATTATATGAAATTCTATTTATTATATGAAATTTAAACGACTATGCAAAAAGATTTATCAGTCACATAAATTTGATATGAATTCGTGATTTACATCTGCGATTTTTTGCAGAAGACATAGGCACATTTGCTCGGCCATCTACACAACGGAATTCTGTTTGGCGGAAAAGTAAACGTCAGTTAAGAGCTCTTATGAATCGCTATGTTAGCTGCCCTGTCAACAAAAATAACGGTAAACTAGTCCAGGTAGGTGCATTTTATTAAAATCCATAAACTGCAGAAATGTGATTTAAGTTTCACAGTTAGTAATTTTTCAGATTACTTCCAATGTATGGTGCACTCGTTTCAAGATGTTGTCCGTCGCAACCAATATTCTTCCAACTTTCCTCGCTCAGGTTGATTCATTTTTTGGACAACTTTCAGTCAAGGCGTTTACCAAATGAAAATTTCAACTAGAGAATCGGAAGCTGAAAGTAGGAAACACAAAACTAAAAGGCTGGTGGGATACTCATTTGTAAAAAGCCTTAATTTCAGGTTGTTTACAAAACATCAGTTCTTCATTTGCAACCTCGTCAGATGACAGTACAATTGGCTGATTTAACCAAAAGGACTGGTAGTCCTCCGATAAGTTCTCATTGTGTAACATATCGTAATCCAATAAGTGGTACACAGCCAAGTAATGACAGTAGTTTTTCAAATGAAAGTACTGTTCGCAGTGTGGCCATCGCTCCAAATGATCGGTATGTGTCTATGTTTTAAATTTTTTTATATATTCATGTATCTTTTTGCATACATTTAAAAGGTGTAAGTGTGAAAAACAAGTTGTACAAATTGTCATGAAATAATGGGTAGTATTACAGTTTTTATGGATTTTATAAAGTAATCCTTTTTATGTAACTCATATACTTTGAATTTTGAGAAAAAATCTGTTCAGAACGCGTGGTATTGCAATTGACATAGAACCACTGCTTGATGAGACAGTTGAGGAACCTTTATCGACTGAAGAAAAACTTCTTTTTCAGGTACGCTTAATTTTCTGATACCTATTTGATTGGGGTCGATTGGTTTGTAAATAGTGAAGCATAAGTGTTGTTTTTTAAAAAAATTACCAATTACTAGTGGTTGAAATGAAAAACCATTTGATAGAAGGTTAAGGATATGATTATTTGGGTGGAAAATTATGAAATATGTTGAGATTCCTTCAAAATATAAGTAATTTATGTTCATTTTATAATATTTCATGTTTATTTGATTGCAGAGTATCTTATCAGAATTCAATGATTTGAGAGCGGCAGTAGAAAGGCATATTGCAAAGATGAAGTGTTTTGCTAGTGATCTTGAAAGGTCATCACAGAAGTTAGACTCTTTCGGTGGAACCACCAGCGTGATAAGATATGTCTCTAAAGTATCAACAAGGGCAACAGCTCTTCCCAAGGAAATTTGCATAGTTGGTCCAGGTACGAAAACGCAGTGCAGTGAACTCACCAACATTGGACCTTCAACGTCTACTAGTCGATGGTCGCAGCAGTTCGATGATATTGAGGTTGTTGTCACTTGTTCTTTCTTATGGTTTCCATTCTTCTGATTATGCGAATCGGTGGCCAGACTTTTTATATTCTGCACCTCTTTTTATCAGATATTGGCGCCTATTTTCTGAAGAATGCACAGAATCGTCTTGATAGAGTATGATTCTTTTTTTTTTTCTTGAAGCTGTATTGATTATATTGCCAAACTAATCTTTAGTATATTGATGAGGATGATGATGCTGTAATACATGATGCATATACTACTGAACGTACTTCACTTATCGATCGTTTCAGAGCTACTGAAACTTCTCGCAAAGGTAACAGTTTATTTCAGATTATTTTTTACTAGTATTCGTTACGTAATATTTCTGCAAATTCATCGCACAAAAGTTAATATATAAAAATAGTTCCTTATAAGTGACATTTTTGCGGTGACACTTCAGTGTTTTATAACTCTGTATATTTCTGATGTCTTGAATATTTCGAAATGATTTCTGTAGCTTCAGGGATGAGACAGTTAAGTGATATTACATCAGTATTAGATAAGCTGACAAAGTTAGCGAATGATCTAACTACACGCTGTGCGGTGGGGCAGTTAAATAATGACGAAAGCTCAAATCTGGTGAATCTACAGTCTTTATCATATCGCTGTATGAGTGTAAGTGTCATATAAAATAATTTATGATTTCGGAAGGAATATTCCAGTATGTTAAGAGATGTTATTTCTTTGCACTGTGATGTTTTCTCTTTGTAGAAAACATGTTGAATGCAGAGAATGAAGCAATGATTTTACTGATCATCAGTACAACGAAAAAACCTATGAAATTAGATTTTCCGAGTTTTCAAATTTAGGATTCAGTAAAGGAAAGCCATGCAACGGTATCCTCTTTAAGGACGCAGCTGAAGGATATTTCGAAGAAAGTTTCACAAATCGAAAAGAAAATCAGTTACGGTTAGGTTTTTTTTTTCATGTATTATATTCATAGTATTGTCAACTCTTCTTTTTACCATAATCAGTTTTGTTCGTTACGGCATGAAGTCTTGAATCATATTTGATTGTTTCATTTATGCCATACTAATTTTAGGAGATGAACTACTCGATGAAGTTTGCGGTGATTTGCAAGAAAGAATTCAACATATCAAAGCAGTGCTTGGTGATCAGCCTGCATTAAGTGATGGAAGTGTTTCTTTCCTTACTATGAATAATAAAGCACCTTTTTGGAATGAAGCTAGTCAAGTGTATCAGGTATATATACTTCCTTTTCCTAACACAAAAATATAACACACAAAAAAATGAAAATAAAATCCAATGCATCAACAGATTAAAGCAATAAATAAGCGTGACTTTTACAACATCATTGGATTTCCAGGAGTATTTGAAACCAACTCAGTTTTATTAGTTGTTATACGATCATGTACCTTGTCTTGTGTTCATGACATTGCCTGATGACCGTTTTAGAATTATCGTTTCTGTTTAGTCTTACAATAGTTTGTCCATTTTAAATTATTGCGCTGGCAATTTCAGTTTGTTTGAAGCTCGAAACTTCAAGGCTATTCTGTGTTACACAGCCATTCTTTTCTGTTTGGACGTTGTGATGTGAAATTTGAGTAGGATGATGGTTGCAGCCACAAAATCACATAATCACAAGATTATCCATTTTTGTTTTGACTCGACTGTACACAGTTTGCCTTTGGTGATCACATGAATTATTACTATCATTAGTAATATGATTATCACTTCGAACATGATCCAGTAATACAGTACAATTCAACAGTACATTATAAGTGACTTTTACACCTGAAAGTTAACCTGATCCAGCAAGTCTTAATCGGCTCTTAATCCTAACTCTTGATGAATTAGGTGACCAGTCTTGATGACCAATCTTGTTACAAACTTCTTCAAGTCCACGTCTCAGTCATCCTGAATGGATTACTCAACAATTTTTTAAGAGAGAGACAAGTTCGATTTATGTGGAAATTATCTATTTCAGCTGGATTTTGGTGGTCGTGTAACTCAAGAATCAGCGAAGAATTTCCAAATCGAATATGATGATCAGCAAGTGATGCAATTTGGACGTATAGAAAATGGCGCCTATACGCTTGATTTCCGTTCACCATTCAGTGCTGTACAAGCATTTGCTGTTGCGCTTGCATCCATTACCCAACGCTTGAAATAACGAATTAAAGGGAATATTGGGCGGTCCAGTTCTTTTAAAATAATTTTATGGTGACCAATTTTATCGCAGACATACGATCTGGAAAACAGGTTCGTTGATGAAATCCCATAGTTTACTCGGATAAAGTGATCTACCATTTCGGCCGATCTTATGCGTTTCTTTCTTCATGCAGTATATGTGTAGTTTAAAGCATGACAGCATAGCGATTCTGTATCATGTCGATTTTTCTTCATTCATAATAATAGTTGTTAACTGATTGCGAATTCCGGTTATTGTATTGCTTCTATGGTCCGACAATTCATCAGCCTATCGCTGATATCTTTATTTGCAAAACTGAACACTAACTTTGTAATGTTTTGGCAAATTGAACACCGACATTGTAATCACACTACGTTTCATGTTCACTATATCCGGTTCATTATGTACCACAAACGGAGTTGGTGGAGTCTTTCAAAATGTATTTCTGAAGAGTTCATTGTCTGCATATATTCCTAACAGGGGTTTTAAACACCGACTAAACAGGTTAATAGTACTAGTAGTAACTTGTCTTCCGCTCCAACTCATCACTTGATTTAGCACGAGACATGTACATGTATGTAAATTTTGAAATATTATTTATTGCAGCGAATTATATTAATCGTTTTATGGCATTTAAGTGCGGTGAAATTGGTTCGCACGATGTAGCATGTGTTAATGAAATTTCTCCGCTAATGTAATAAACATTTTTCGAATTCGCTTTTCATATATCCGGTCTAGAAGTTCAATTCATGGTTATAGAGTTGGTAACTATATGAATTACAGCTGTTTTTATCTCCTCGTAAAGCTAGAACTGAAGGACTTTTGGAATGGGATCTTAAAATGAAGTAATTTTGGGTATTGGATCAAAGCAGGCATCTTATTCATTGCCACAGACTTACAACGAGTTCCTGTTCTCTATGTTTCGATAATATGGTGACAAAGTAGTTACAATAAAATCATTCTGCTGGCACTGCCATTGTTCAAGAGATCTCCCAAAAGGAGTAAAGAATTAGAACCATTAGACACTCAAAATAAGTCCCATTAAACACTTCCTATTTAAGCACTGCCGAGTCAATGTGTACAATTATTTTTCTTCAAAGCAAAAGTATACATATCTGGGTAACTGAACAATTATAGAACCACCGGCTAAATGGCGGCGCATGGTGAGGTACAGGAGAGATTGCCAAGCAAATAATGCATTGATTTTGTTACAGCCAAGCAGTGATGTTGTTTCAATAAAATATTTTTAAAAACCAGTGAATTGTACATCGAAACACTGATCGCAAATAAGATCAATAGTTAGTGCTGGCTCCATTTTATACTCTTCAGATCAGTGCCTTCCTGGATCATTTCCCATAATGGACTCATTTCTCTTAGTCGTTCCACTTCTTTGATACAAAGATCGGCTGTATAATCAATTTCCTGAAATATAGATAAGTGAAGAACGGAGAAAATGAATAAACGAATAAGAGGCATAAATTTTTATATCTAGGCCAGTATTGCCCGAAGAATATAAGAAGGTTCAAGCGATGCACTGGCACATGCACTATCTGATGATATAAAAAAATGTATATATAGAATAAAACGCTTCAATATATAAAATAAATGTATAAAATAGAACTGCTTCAATATATAAAACCTCTTCTGTGGTAAACCTTCCAATCCCAAATCTGATGCTAGAATGCGCCAAGTCTTCTTCGGCCCTATTGCCCGAAGAACATAAGAAGGTTCAAGCGATGCACTGGTACATGCACTGCCTGATGACAGCGCCACATTTTTCAATGCCATCAGCAAACTTTCACCTTCAACGCAAGAAAATGAAAGATTCAGACAGCCTGAAAAAGTATGAAAAACAGTTTATTATATAAAACATATAATATAGTACTTGAGAAACTAATACTTAAAGAAGTAATTTTGTCAATTATTTGCAAAATTAGAGACCAAATTGTAGATCTGCATTTCTAACCCCCATAAAATCAAAAACTTTCACCAATAAACTTAGTTGTTAATCCGAATTCAATAATGGCTGAATAATGATACCATAAAAATAACCTTGATAAGTCTGTTCTGGATCACCATTTCGTACAACATGACTTAACTTAGAATTTATACGATCTAATAACCGCTTCGATAGACGATCGATATGTTTCTTGTCCATTTCCATTTCTTCTGCTGCGATGGCACAAGCCTAAATTAGTTGAAAAAGAAAAATACTACTTATTTGGGAAATTAACCCGAACTTCTAAAATATGAAAAAAAATAAACACAACTTTGCCAAAGCCAACAACAAGCGGTGTTGGGAGAGTTCCTGACCGCATGCCCCTCTCTTGCCCACCTCCTGACATTTGCGCTTCCAGCCGAACACGAGGCCTCCGACGAACATAAATTGCTCCAATGCCTTAAAAGCATTTGTTTTTAATCATGACTTTTTCAAGTAATCAAAGCACTTTATGCAACACCTTCCATACATTTTCAGTTCGCAATTTTATACGTATCAATAACTCCTGTCGAAAAAATAAAAGTATGAAAAGTTAATTTCTTTACAATAAGACTTGACAATCTTTGACCTTTTGGCCCATAAATTTTATGGCCACTGATAGACATCAGATCAACATTCATATCGTTAACATCTATCGATATTTTCCCAACAGCCTGCGCTGCATCGCAATGAAAAAACACGTTTTTTTCCCGACATATTTTTCCTGTAAGTGAGCAAAAAATGGAATCTAACTGGATGCTTTGATCTTTACCTTATATTTTAGATACAAAATATATTTTAGGTGGAAATCAAAGTATGCGGTAGATTAATAATTACCTAAAATATATTTTAGATATAAACATATATTGCTGATAACAACGACAGAGTATATATATACATAATTTTGTATACAATTTGAAGTATCTGAATTATAAGGACGCATAAAATAATATCAACATTCCATCCCCGAATAAACATATTAAAGAAAACCAATTTCTTTGGTAGGCTGTATAACACCAATTTCATTGTTGAGAATCATAACAGATACAAGGATGGTTTCATTTGTAATTGCATTTTCTAATTCCTGCAATATGAAACTAAGACTTTCAAGCTGTAATATAATATCTTCAATATTGATGATATAAAAAACACGACTACTTCTCTCACATTATTACTGCTCTCTTGCATTGTAACTTGGACTTCTTTTTTGAGCAAGAGTAAGAGAACTTGAAACGATATAATGCTTGCCTTCAAACTAATTATTCCATTTCTCTGGACGGGTAAATAAGTCACTTTGAAGCCCTTGGTTGACAAGTAACGACAAGAATCCAGTATGCATTTATGTTCCTAAACAATTTAAATCTGTTAGTCAGTTTAAACAAGGATAAGCATAATATAGAAATGAGAAATTTAAAAAAGAAATATTTCTGTACCAATTAATTAAGAAATGAAGAGAAGGCTAAGAATTCAATGTATCATAACAATGAGATAAATTTGAGATAATATGAGATAATTTGGGATAAACACAATTTCTAACTGTCTGCACTGTGATCAAATGATTCTTCCCAGTTTCTCTGTAAAAATTGGCTACTCCTTTGATAGCGATGTTATTCGATTCCGTAGCACCTGACGTAAAAATAACTTCACGTGAGTCTGCTCCAATTAATTTTGCCACCTAAACAAAGAAATAGGTACCAAAAAAAGAGATACTTTGAGGTGAAGCAATACCCATTACTAATATTATTATCAATGTAGTTTACGAAACGGTTACCTGCAGGCGGGCTTTTTCAACTGCTTCTTCAGCTTCCCAACCATAAAAATGAGTTTTACTGTGAGGATTACCATATGAACTCACCATATACGGTATCATAGCGTCCAGTACGCGTGGATCCTTCAAATAAGATTTCAAAGAGCATAACGATATTACCGCAAACTTAAAAACCTAAAATAACAGAGTAGCACCGTTGTTTCTTCTAACTGGAAACCTATTACTTTCGATGAAAGAAATGAAACAAGCAGTAACCATAGGTGTAGTTGCTTGGACATCCAAATATAAAGGTTTTAGTTGTGAATTTTGCGGTGCCTTCGTTATCGTTGCACGGACTGCATACCATCTTAAAGTAGCAATAGCAGTGGCTCCGAATTTTGACCAGCTAATAATCGTCGCAGTAAACATTAACCTACCTGAAACTGAACCAGTAATTATGAATTTACTGGTTAGAGTGACACACTGAATGTTACCGTAAATTGATATATCGACATTAATAGATTGCGGCTCAAGTATTTAGCATACCTATTTTTCTAAAATACAATCATGTATAAATATAAATATAAATATAGGTGTAAATATAAATATAAATATACATGCATATACATATATATATATACATATATATATACATATATATATATATATATATATATATATCGACATAAGCAGAAACAAAAGAATTTAATAAGCAATGACTGACGATTTGGTTTTAGTTCACGTCAACAGCATTACAATCAGTTCATAATAAAGAAGTGGGAAAACAGTGTTCTATAAAGTATGTGAAGGTAGGTATGTTTACAGGCATAATAAAACAGATACGCTAACAAATGACGAAAGTCCAGTGAGATATTTCGTATGACTTTCCCTGTAGCCAGAACCCTCTTGGGATAATTCCGGAAAAAGTTTCGAACATTAGCTGACTGTTCACAGTTTATTACCAAACATAGTAAAGCATAAATACAAACATCAACATGAGATCCACCAATTAATATGAAACTAGAGGAACGCTTTTGAGCTGCAATTGTTATCGAAGGTTTCAGTAGGAAGTGCGAAATATCGTATCCAAAGTAGTTTTTGGAGTGGGGTTGTCACGTGTGTGTGTGTCTTTCTGGATGAAGTGTGGATGGATGTAAGTGCGGAGGAGGAGCAACCCGGGAGGAGTATGCCAATACCGAGCCGTGCTAGTGTTTACGCCGAGGTCAGTTATCACTCTTATCATTCCGTCATACTTTCCGTCTTTCAGTTCATCGACGCTTGACCTATGGTTGACCTTGACTTAAAAAATAGAACTGAATTAGGAAATAAACATTTCTATGTATTATTATCTAGGAAATATCAGTAACCATTAAATACATATGGTTGTTATCTATACATGGTACATGGACATTATACATGATGCTGATGTATGTTATAACGCTGCATAGAGTAAAGATGTCAGCGTTTAATCATGCAGGTAGGAATGAATAAAGACTTTCAGTTACATGGCCAGGGTTTTTCTTATTATAACTTGCTTGATAGTGACCTATTTCATTGAAATGTTTTATTGTTTTTGTAACTATGTGCATACCGCTACTGTCACGAAAGGAAAGTTGCTTTTTTTTTTCAGGTCAATCAGCAGAAACCTCGTGAATATTGGGACTACGAATGTCATATGATAGAATGGGGTAATATCGATGATTACCAGTTAATCAGAAAATTAGGACGTGGCAAGTATAGTGAAGTTTTCGAAGGTGTCAGGTCATCGTTAGATGAAAAATGTGTTATCAAAATTCTTAAGGTTTCTTTTCATTTTTAAATTTTTCTGAATTTTTGTATCTTGAGGGAAACTTCGTAATATTATAAGAACACAATAGAACACTTCGACGACATAGTCAGATGGGAAACCTTATTCTTATCTTAATAGGACTTAAGCAAGGAAGGTGTTCCCTTCCTTTTCTTCTGGAAAAGGCACGAATTATGGTAATGTCGGTATTGATTTCTGTTTTGAGCGTGGAGACGTTTTCAGTAAGAAAAAAAAAAGCAAACCTTATTTTTCAGCCTGTCAAAAAAAAGAAGATAAAGCGTGAAATCAAGATCTTGGAGAATTTAAGAGGAGGAACAAATATCATCACACTGCTAGATGTCGTGAAAGATCCTATTTCTAGAACACCAGCACTTGTTTTCGAATATGTCAATAATACTGACTTCAAGGTTAATTTTTTTTGTAATTACCAAATATATATTGTCGAAGTTTGAGCCAGCACTTTTTGTTTTGAACAAAGTACATGAAGGTCTCGACTGTTCCAGAGGAATTATTCTTATATAGGTAATAATAATTTCTGTGATGCAGAAGTAATTATTGTAACTAGATAACCAATAGGTGAGTGTGAAGCATCCTGTGACAGCAAATGTTGTTGTTGTTCAAGTAGGTAGCTCTTGGGTTCTGATGCGTAATCATTATACTTTCTAAATAGCGTATAAAATGGATAAAGTGATTTTGCAGCTGGTGGTATTAGTGTTTTTCAGAAAGCTTCTATATAGCTGCGTTATCGCGCCATCAGTATTAACTTTGCATGCCTGCAAATGAAATTATTCTGCCGTTACTTCTGTTCTTTTTAATTCATTAATTCTTTTTCTCGATAAGTGTTACAATAATAGCGAAGGTGCGAAGTGATGCTTTTGCTGAATGGTAATGCTTTCTTTCGACAGGTCATGATAGTATTGTAAGTTTAGGATAAGTTTCACTAATTTATATATACTTCAGCAGCTTTATCAGACTCTAACTGATTACGATATCCGCTATTATTTGTACGAATTGTTGAAAGCCCTTGACTACTGTCACTCACAGGGCATTATGCACCGTGATGTCAAGCCACACAATGTTATGATCGATCATGAAAAACGAACAGTTAGTATATTATGCAATTTCATTAATTCATTTGGGAATTCACCAGCATCATTTACAATCTGATAAAATATTATCATGTCGTTGTCCACTGAATTCGTATTGAATTTTTAGGTGTAAATGTATGGAAACTGTATCCGTGTTTTGAACTTGTTTTTCTTTGTTTCACGAGAAGGAAAAGGAATCGAAATCATTGTATATATTTTTAGTTAAGACTTATCGATTGGGGATTGGCTGAGTTTTACCATCCGCGTCAAGAATATAATGTGCGTGTTGCATCACGATATTTCAAAGGTCCTGAACTCCTAGTTGATTATCAGGTCCAATCGATTATGTTTTTATTTTCTTCCGTATTAGACTTCCATTTAAATTTAATTTTTAAACTTTCTTTCTGCAGGACTTTAATTTACTGTTTTAGTGTTATGATTATTCACTGGATATGTGGAGTTTAGGCTGCATGCTTGCAAGTATGATTTTTAGGAAAGAGCCGTTCTTTCACGGTCATGATAACTATGATCAGGTTTGCATTAATTAATAATGTAGCATCGCTTTGCTTGTTTTAATTTTCGGTGGGAATGTGAAATCCCTTATATCAAAGTTATCTTTAATTCCATTTTTTTGGAACCTTTCGATATATGCAAACTTCATATTTGACCAGAGTGCATATCATTTGTATTTTTCAGCTAGTGCGAATTGCAAAGGTTTTGGGCACTGAAGAATTATTTGAATACATAGACAAATATCAGATTGATTTAGATCCCAGATTTAATGATATTCTCGGACGGTTAGTTTTAGTTATTAAAATTCATGTTATTGTGAATCGTATGATTATTCTTTTTATTTCATCATTTTGATGAACATTTCTTAAACACATATTGTTTAGGCATTCCAAGAAACGCTGGGAGCGTTTTGTTCATAGTGAAAATCAGCATCTAGTTTCTGCGGAAGCAGTAGATTTTCTGGATAAATTGCTTCGTTATGATCATCAGGAACGACTCACTGCAAAAGAAGCTATGCAGCATCCATATTTCTATCCTGTTGTTGAAAATGAGCAGCGCAACAAGCAAGATCTTACTACATCCGTTATTAACTGTAAGTTTTACTTCATACAGGAGAGATGTGGAGAAAGGAATCAGGGGACATGGAAGTCACATTTATTTTCTATTTTGCAAATAGTTTGTTTAATCGTAAAATCCTAAGTTTAATCGTAAAATCTTGTTCTAGAATACCGAATATTCTTGAGTCTCTCTATCTTTTTCAGCTGGAACACCCGGAAGTTTGAATGCACCATTGGGAACTCCACTTTTGAACAACAGTGGAACAGTACCTTCACCTCCTGCTGTCACGCAGTCGGCACAGTCTTGACCGATGAAAATGAACTCATGAGTGTTACCATACGGTGACAATGTGCAAAAGCATCATTACCTTTTGTCACTTCTGAAAATGCATTCTGATAACCTATTTCATTTGAACAATTCGGCGGCTCTGACCGTATAAGTGAAAGGGAATATCCTCTGCTTATTTCTCGTCGATTGATTTATCTTCAACATATGTTATACTCGGTTTTTTGCTCAGCGAAGGATGTGTATAAAAAATCGTGCTGTTAAAAGAGTTTTCATTGATGTTCTTTCCCCTTATGATTTCTTCCGTCAAATGCACATGGATTTCATTCGTTGAACTGTATGGATAGTTTATTTTAAAATGAAAATGTTTCCTGATTGTTGCAGTGTCACCATACGAAATATTTATGAAGGATTTTGTAGGAGGCTGACAAGGTTATCACGATACTCTTTACAAGTTTTTCTCATATAGACCCCATTAGGCTTACACATTTCTGCTCAGTTCCATCGTACTCCTCTTGACTTCAACCAAATCTTTCGAGTAACCAGAAGGCTTGAGTCCATTTCGTATTATTCATATATTGGTTTTTGTTGCCAAACCGAATTGCTCCAGAACACAATTTGTGATGCATATGAACGGAGAATGATTCCAAAAATTTTAAAAGTGCAGGATTTATCTGATCTGTATTGCATTTGTACACCTTTTATATTTCTGAAACCCAACTTCAAAGAAGCCGCAACAACTAATAAAACTGATCTGGTTCATTGTGAAAGGATCTCCCGTCCAACTTGTTCTATAAGTTTGTAAACGCAGGCCTCTCATGATCAAGCATTCCTCACTCTTCCGCACCAAAAATATAAAATTACCCCTATGATTCGATTTCAGAATATTGTGTCTTGCCTTCATATGTACAAGTGTATTAGATTCACTGCTAATTTCCATATAGCATACAATATTCACAAACTTACAGGAACTGTTTCCCGTTCCTCATGACAAAATCAAAATTGAAATATCTTGTACAGCCTACAAATCGTAAACCAATAGACAAAACATTTTATTTGGGATCGATATGATCCATTTCCGCATGACGTTATGGAATTAAGATACCTTTACTTCAGTAGCAATGAAAATTTTCCAGACGAAATGAAGTGAACATAAACATCCTACAAAAGTGGAAATGTATATTTGACTCAAATTACGAGCATTTCTAAATGAAAAAATGAAAACTATCCTATTAATTTGCATATTTCTAGAAATATAAAACTAACGCAACAAAACAATGTGGCTGTTCTACAAAAACGCAAATGGAAAGATAATAGAAATTTTGCTTGCATGCGAAAACACAACCATTCGACAGCTCCCAAAGCCAGAAGTCAATCTTCCCTTACTCAGCTGTTCACAGCATTTACGTTACTACAATTTATCGTTTCTTCATTGTCCACAAAGTCCATTTTCTTTACCTTTAATTTATTTGTTTCTTACCGAAAAAGATTAATTTTTCACTACTAACACTAATTGCGGTATTGATCGCATTAAATTTTATAGACGCCAATGGTTTCAAAATTCTTATTTGACTACGTTTAATTGCTCACGCCATGCTATAAAGGAAATCAAATATAAAGTGCTTTAACTTTTCCAGCAAAATATGGACTCAACAATCATCTTTGTTTAAAATCGAGTTTGTATGGAAAAGTTCCTAAGCTACTATATAGAAAAACATACATAATAATATCATAATTTTGCAACATCCTAATTTAAAATCCGAGGTCATAATCGTTGCATCTCCAGATGCAAGTAATAAAGTGAACTATTTAGAAATTAAATGACCTTAACCACCTCGTTCGTAGGTATTCAGTAGTGAATGGGACATAAACTAGCATTAAAAAACTACAAATTTTGCACAGATCCCTCATTTTAAAAACAAACCTGAGCACCACAGAGCAATGATGCCATTGCGGAATCACAGCACAATTCTTCAGAAGTAAAATCTATACATGACGGAATATTACGTCCATTGGGCAACTTTGTTCCCGGATTGCGCAACACATCGAAAAATGAATGTGCGCAAGCCTCTAACGGGCTGGGTCGTTGATGTGGTGAATAAATAAGTACAAGTGATACAAGATCGACTGCTTCCAGATTTGTATTTGAACGGAAAACACGTATCCACGGACGTGGCTGCAGATTGTTGATTAGAAAATTGAACGTAATGGAAACATTTCAGATTCAGTTTAAAAGAACAGAAAAAAATGATAAAATGAAATTTAAAAGAAAAAAATAAAAGGAAAACGAATGATCTACAGTTGATGAATTACTGTAGTTACGATATCGTTTGTCGAACAGTAATTATTAGTGTTCCCCATAGATTTATCATAATTATTGCTTCGCAACTATTACACTATCCAGAATTTGTAATGCTGTTATATATCATAAGTCAATTGATCAGTGCTCACTTTGATAGAAGGGAAGGTGCGTTCCTTATAATCAGGGTTCATCTCATGAATATGTGCTTTTGATGGAGTGCCAAGAACTTTGATGATTTCTACGAGCTGATCAACACCAGAATCACCGGGAAATATCGGCTGGCCCAACAAAAGTTCTGCTAAAACCGTCCCTGCTGACCACATATCGATACTGCAACAAGTGATCAAATGTTCATATATTTTGTAATGTCGTAAAATTATTAAAACCATTCCGGCAATATAATATTTGCTGGATAAATAAAATAAACTATTTCCCGGAAGGACGCAAAATTAAAAAACTAGAAAGATGAAATCAAACTTGAAATACGCTCTAAGCCAAATTCAAAGAATCTTCACTTATTATTGACATACAGCTAGCGGATCTTCGCTTAATACCTGCTCGTATAGTTGGTAGCACCGAAAATAAGTTCTGGAGCACGATAATAGCGAGAACAAATATAGGAAACATTCGGCTCGTCTCGAATAAGATATTTAGCTGAACCGAAATCACAAAGTTTAAGAACTGCAGTTTTAGTATCGATCAGCAAATTCTGTGGCTTGATATCTCTGTGGCAAATTCCTGAAAGAATGCAGAATAACTGATATACAGAGCTCAACTGTAACGCGAAAAAATCCCTACGATTTTTGAGTAGTGTAGAAGAAAAAACCAACAGGGCTGATTAAAAAATATATATATATATATATATTGTACTTTTAAAGTCAGCAATGTTGTACCACTATCCTTCTTTCATCCCGTAATGTCTCATATTTATTTATGACTTATCACTTAATGAAAATATAAAAAAAATGAATTTATCTTCTGTATCTGCGGATGGATATGTGTTGATCAAACTGAAAAAAATCTTACCAAGCTGATGGATATATGCCAAAGCTCGAAACAGTTGGAACATGTATAATTTGACATATATGATGGGTACCGCTTGTCGTAACTTGGTATAATGTCTGGCAACACGATAAACTGTCTCTGGTACGAATCTATTCGGTTAAAAGTTAGAAATTTAGCACGTACCATTTTGCAGTATGCATCATATATGCCATCATATATTTTGCAGTATGCATCATCATATATGCATCATATACTCATTCCGTTTTGAATTCAGAAAATATTTATTTTAATGAGAAGTATTGGTAAAAAGATTCCTAAAAAACAAAAAAAATGTGGAAAATGAAACTAAAACAAACCACATATGTAAGACTTACTCTAAAATCAGATTCAAATATAGTTCATCCTTCTTTTCACCGTTAGAATAAAAAAAGTACTTGAGCTGTACAACATTCTTATGATTTAACTTTCTCATTATTTGTAACTCGCGATTCTTGAATCGCTTATCCTGGAGTACCTTCTTGATTGCTATTTGTTCTCCTGTGTCGACCAGCTCAGCTAAATAGACAACACCAAAGGAACCGCTACCAACTATCTGCAGTCAAAACAAACGAAATTTGTGAACTAATTCAAAACACATGTTCTGAAAATAATTTCTATGAAGGTTGACTTTTGAATCTAATAAACTGATTTCGATGCAACCTTCAAACTATTGAAAAAAAAACCTACGAATAAATTATTAGGTTTAGTTCCAAATTTAGTTGTCTTCAATCACGAAAAATCCATTTATTCTTAAAACAACTGCTAAGAAACACCGTTTGCTAAAAACAGTTTAAACGAAATAAATTCATTTAATCTTGGAGTATACAAAAATGACCTTAGCATCCGAGTACTGCACTTCTACCTGACGATCTGGTCCCTGCCCAGATGAAGCAAGAACTGTAGTCATTAGAAAATATGTGGGTGTGAACGATTACGTACTTGAGAACGGATAATGTTTACTCATATAAATCAGTCCAGCAGCAATACACAGTCTTTTGACGGAGTGAATTCTAGAAAAAAATCCAGTAATTTTTGGTAAAACGTTCACATGATCCAAGCTTAACAAACTTTACTTATAAACTGAAAGAAATTAAACTAAATATAAATTGAACTCATACCGTCAAACTCGAATCCTAAGGTCACTAATTTCAGCGTAATTTTTGCCTGCAAAAATGCATTCAACACAAATGCAACTAAAATTAAAATTACGTATATAATGGCCGAATCTTCCCTCACTCACTACATCTATGACAAATTACAAAATACTGTGACTGAGTTAAATAATCGCAGCAAACATTACCTGTGCCACACAAAAAAGCATTTCGTAATGCAACAATTAGCAAGAATAAGGCCCGATGAGCCCTGTTAATAATGAATCACAAATAAGTGGATGTATTTTGTGTCCTGCAAACCTCTTCAATTGATTCTCACACTTTCATTTATTTAAGATGAATTGGAGACACAACAACTTGATACCCACACTACCAACCTGATACACGTACTCCCACCCAAGAAAGACCCATACATCTCAGTAAACTTTACGGAAGAAAGCCTTGCGGCCCGGGAAGTTTTTAACGATGGATTGTTGTGTAGAGCGTTTTCTCTTTCGCTAATCGGGTATGAGCTAATTACGTGTATTCTTATTACACTTTTTCGCTCACTTATTGTCCCTTTACTGGTGAAATTAGAATTGCTAGTCTTTCACTGCTTTTTATAGAAAGGGATTGCAACTCGAGATATTCTTTGTTTCTTTCATCACTCGCATCATTTATTAATGAAAATTGATGAGCTTAAATGGGTAGCAAATGAGTACCTCTTGAAGTGCTGCAAATAAAATTACTTCTTAACAACGATGCCTCATTGCAGGCTACCACAGTATGCTGTTTGATTATGCTTTTTGCAGTGCAAGACGGTCGTTTGCTTATCTGATAAACAAAGCGCTGATGGAACCCAGAGGTATTGCTGCGTTGACTAATGTGAACGATATTTCCTTTATCAGGTCTGTTTCATTTCTCAAGATATGTGATAACTTATGTACTTAGCTACTGTCCGCTACCAAAATTATAGGACAGTGTGTGGTGGATAAACGTGAGTCTATCTTGTAATCTCATTGTCTGGATTTTGGTTTACGACCCAAAAGTTACTAAGATATTTTCTAGTATATGTTTGATTTCTAATAAAATTGGCTCTACAATTGTTGTTATATCATCCCAATCGTCGCTAGATGTTTTCTCAACTCTTCTGCAACCACTTCTCTCACATTGACCAACAACGCCTGCTTAATATTGATTTTACTATCTTGTGTTGTTTTCACAAGCAGTATTATCTTGTAGTTCTTATCGCAGTGTTTTTTTTTAATTCTTTTCAACTATTCATGAGAGATTCTTTTTCGCTGCAATATTATGTATATCATTATTCTAAAGAACCGTTCCCCGCAATTCCCTTCTTTTTATAATGCTTCTTTCTTACCTTCTAGTATTTTATCTGTTAAAATTTACTGTTTTATCCGTCTTAGCTAAAATTATTGTGCACTTACGTATTTCAAATTCCACTGATATCACCTCTAAGAAGTCTCGTCCTATACTGACTACTGCATTTCTTTTTTCCTGTTTTCCCTGTAACTTGATATCATCAAGGAAATAAGTGATTTATCTTCACGCTTAACATTTTCATATCCATATTGGTTTTCTTCAATATCCTAGTAAGAGGTATCTTGGAAATCAGGAATAAAAAAGATGTCAGGAAGTGTCATTAAATATTTCATGTCTAAGTTCGATGCTTTTATATTCATTATTTTCATCTGTTGAAGTAGTACTTGATTTCTTCTTGATATTGCTAGTAGCTCTGAGAATAATTTCATGGGAGCAGTTTAATACAGGTTTAATACTTGATTATCAGTTAATAAATTGAGTAACGGCTTGCACATGATCATCGCTTACAAAGTTCAGTCAGTTTTTCTGATTTTTCAAAATTTTTTTGCAATTTTTTCCTAATATTATGTTATTTTTTCTTCGGTGTATTTTCAGTCAGTATGATGCGGTTGCACTGGACCGCGAGCTATTCGGTACTTATGCATTCAACGTGGATCAGTTAATGGAGCTTGCAGGTTTAAGTTGCGCTCATGCAATAGCACGCAGTTACGATAAAGGAAAAATTCTCATCATTTGTGGGCCAGGAAATAATGGCGGTGATGGTTTCGTATGTGCACGCCACCTAACGTTTCTTGTAAGCTTGTGAAAACATGTCGGTTTTGTTTAGGAGTAGTCAGGCAATTTGGTTTGGAGTACTAAATTAGGTTATAACGCTCCATCTGAAACGGTTGCACTGGATCGCAAGCTATTCGTCACTTATGCATTCAACGTGGATAAGCTACTCTATGAACTGTTCATTCTTTTCGCTGAACTGTTAAGAATATTCAAAACATCAGGACAATATATAGAGCACTGACGTAGACTGTTGATAAGCATATTCTAACTGTCTTAAATGGAAGGTAATTTTGATATCCTTCAAATAAAATTATCAAAACTCATTTGTAGGGCTTCGAGCCATCTATTTTCTATCCAAAACAATCAAAATCAGAACTGATGAAACGCCTTGTGAAGCAAACAGAAAAAATGGGTATACCACATATCGATGACAGTGTTTTCAAAAATCCGTCTGATATGAAAAATAAGTTCACGTTGGTCGTGGATGCTTTATTTGGATTTAGTTTCAAACCACCGTTAAGACAACCATTTGATCAGGTAGTCGAGGCAGTAAATAAAAGCTCCTTACCAGTGGTATCAATCGATATACCTTCAGGTAAATGAATTTATTCAGATGTTTTCGAGGCGAATATAAATATGAATATCTTCAATAAAGCATTTTTCTCCAATATTCGCTTTTTGATTGTCATTTAATTAGAAAATGTATGAATTATTCCCTGCAATATCGTCACATTTCTAAACATTTCAAAGTTTCATGCTCAAATAGACAACTAAAGCAAATTTGAGAGGAACCATTTTTAAAACAGAGGTTATTTAAGGCTAAAACACTAGAAGTTTCGTGTTCTAGGACTTGATAAAATGCCATGTTAATAGTCAAGATTTTCCGCCTCCAGTAATTACTAATTATTAAGCTGTTTTTTAAGCTAATACTTTTTTATAAAAAGTTTGAGAAATGATTACAGAGCGCTCTAAAAATTCGTTAAAATAATCGAGGTTTGGAAAATAAAGATTGTAGGAACCATAATGTCGGGAATCTTTTGTTTTAAGTTGCAGAATTGCCTGAAAAACTCAAGTCATTTCGATACAATATTTTTAATAGTTTAGAATTTGAAAGTTTAGAATCAGATTCTGTCATTAGTTGAGAATGCAATACTTTTTTTAGATGGTTGTTGTGCAATATGCAATATCACTCGAAAGGTGGTCACAGTAATGAAGTGGAATTTCTTGCTTCATACCCTTTTTCCCCCTTTTCTTTAGTACCGTTAGTATTGAAGGAATTTAAGACGTTTTTCACTGTGAGCAATAAAAAGTAATTAGTAAATTGAATAAATACTATATGATATGGGGAAGATCGCAATGCTTTGTTGATGAAAGAGTTGTATGTTGAAAGGAGTGCTTTACTTCTACTTTTTCACACCTTATTCCTCCCGTCAGTGTCATTAATGAGATTTTTTACTGATATTTTTTGCATGCCGCCATTTTGCCAGCTCCCTGCTGGTGAAATTGCTTCTGATTCTTTTGATCATGTCCCTGTGAATTCCAGCCACATTTCACTTTTTCGATTTCTGTAAATTTGTTTCGTTATGGAATTGAGCCGGCTCATCGCATGCTTTTGCTTTCCTCAATCAAATAACCTTTCAATCCGACGTCATTCAATTAGTTATTCGGGTTACCCAATATACTGTATTTCAGGATGGGATGTTGAGAAGGGACCACTTGAGGAACAATTTGCATTCAATCCTGATGTTTTAATATCGTTAACTGCACCGAAACTTTGCGCAAAACATTTTCACGGTCGAGCGCACTATGTCGGTGGTCGGTTTGTGCCGAAAGCTCTCGCTCTAAAGTATCATCTAAATCTTCCCGAATATCCTGGCACGGATTGTGTTGTGAAACTATTTTAAATCGCCAAAGGTTTGTTATAAAAAAGATTATTTCTCTTAACTAATTTATTACCTTTAAATCAATTATTTTATATTGCTTCTTATTGTTGATAAATAAAGGTCTTGCTTGAAATGATCCAAGGTCAAACAAATCAGTGGCTCTTAACCTTCTTTGTAAAAGTTGATGTCGAACATACACCTAGTGAGAGAATTCCTCTCGGTTCATTTCGTTAAGTCGGATCCGAAACGTGAAACTTTTGCAAATGTAATTGGATGTTATACAAAAGATTTGCTGCTCCCATTACCTTGAAATCAGTTTTACATTATTAAAGCCAAATGGTATCACTTTATGCTAACAAATGCTCTCATTGAATAAAGATTCGGTCTACCATGGAGTGTTAGTCAATCTTTTTTATTCAAGGTAATATTTCGTAGATTGTCTTTTCTTCATACGAAGCAAATCAGTCAGTCAGGTAGGCTAGATTCGAAGTGTTTGACATTATTAAAAAGATTGCTATATCAAAATGGATAGTTTGTTTCATTTGGAATAATTGATAGTCTCTTCCTGAAAAGTGTATGGCAGGAAGTGAAACGGTAATGTAACGTTTCCGTAGAACGGATGCAGTGTTGTTGCTCATAATAATGATCAAGAGTTATTTGATAATTTCTCGAAGAATTTGAATATTAATATGCATCTCTAAAATGAGACAGCTGAGAGTAAGCTACGGTATTGTGTCTGGGTTACAAATGGTGGACACCATGGGGTGCACACCATTTGCAGTATATGCATATCTGTGTATTCTTCCCTCCTTTGTTTACGGTAGTTATTTCACCAAACCAGCGAATGAGCAGAAAGGACCGCCCTATTGGCGGATGTTTTTATACGATTTGGCTGGAAGAAGACCCACCACCTTCTCTGGCTGCATATGAGAGGTCATTGGAAATGCTCTTGGATGATGGAATTTTAAAAAACAAACAAGAAGGGTTATCTTATTGAATCGGTTGTTTTCTTCTGTTACTCACTAAACATTCACGTCATGAGCGACTCGGAGGATTCTCCAAGAACGGTAAACTTCCTACTATTATTCATCACTTGCTTATTTGCCTACTATTCGCGTCTGCAACCTTTGCACAAGTTTAGTAACTTTTCTAGACGTACGTTTGTCAGCGTAGTATTATTCTACTGCCATATTATAACATTCAATTGATGAAGAAAAAATGATAATGGGACAGTGTCACGTAGGCAATGAAGTTAGTTGATGTGACGGTGATATCTGAAATGCTACTCGATGATTCTGTTTTAAAAATTTTCGAACTGCAGGTTACATTCAACTAAATGCAGTTTAATTCAGCTGCTTGATTTTCTTCAAACTTCTTAGTCTAACATAATTTTGCTCATCCGAATGTTGCGATCTTACAACATGAAAAATTTGCAATTTATTTTTTACGATTAAAAAGAAGTTAACGCTTAATTGTCGTAACATCCCTCTAATACAATAAATATAGCACTTAACTGTAACTTCTTATTACAATAAATTATATGAGTAATCAGTGCATTAATCAGACAAAATAGCCTGAAGTCTACGTTTGTGAGCATCCTTACAACAGCTCCTTGACCAGAAACCTTCTTAAGAATGAGTTTTAAACAACTACTGAACTTTTAGCAACATATATGATAAAAACCAGCCAGTGTTACATTTCTAGTGCACAGCAAACAGCTTGTGCTAGTGAAATCTAAATTAAATTTAGCTGAATTTCAAAACAAGTGGTGGGATAAAATTTTAATGAAGCTAAATTTCAAACATTCAAATTATGTTATGAGCTCAACAAAAAGGTCAGTAAAGATTTTCCAAGTTAATACTAAGTCTGGCAGACAACTTTATGTGAAACATTATTGAAGTGAAGATACATACCTGCAGTAGTCGTTCATTCAACTCATTATTTCAGAGTAGTCTGTTAAGTATGGAAGAAATTGAGCCATACGTAAGGAGAAAAAGAGTAAACCCCGAGAAATCGAATAAGTTGCAAGGTCTTAACGAGGAGGTACTCATTTCTAGTTATGGATTTTCCTTCAGTTCTCGAGAGGTTCGTTTAACAACTTCTCTTTTGGTGAACTGTAAATGTCAGGTTTTGCCTAAAACCTCCAAGTTTTCAGGAACAGGCGGTCTTGCGTATGAGTATTAATTCAAGGGAACGGAAAAGAATGCATGATCTGAATGATGCACTTGATGAACTCCGACAGTGTTTGCCATATTCGCATCGTACCGGATCCAAGAAAATGTCTAAAATCAATACATTGCTTTTAGCTAGTAATTGGTAAGTCTAAACTCTTCAGTTAACAGCAGGCGATAAAATGGAAAGGAAGTAATCTGGATTAGTTCTGTGCATTCCTGTTTCTGAAGAGTGCTCTTTCAGATGCTCAATATTCATTGTTCCTAATCCAAATTGATCTTCATTTGTTTTTAAATTTGCTTTTCCAAAAAATATTTAAGAGGTAAAGTCGATCTTGGCCTAAAAATGAATTTTTGAATTATAGGAAAATGTTCTTTCAGGATCAAACACCTAACAAAAGCAAATAATGAACTGCGACGGAAACTGGATGAAGTTCGAAACAGTAACCAAGGCGATGCCGCGACAGTTCTCCAATCAACCTCCACGTCAGCACTTCATTTAAGATCTCCTAGTGCATTAGCACCAATTGAACTCTTTAGGCCATCACCTCCATCTTTACCTTTCAAATTAGTACCCGAGACGACACAGCCGCTTCTTAGGCTTTCCGTACCCGTATCAGTACCAGTACCTCTACCTGTACCTGCACAACCATGTGTTAAATCCATCAACGGTCTGTGCTTTTGCGTCAATTGTTTGATTACAAATACCGGTTTAACGAAAAACTTCCGGAAGGATAAATAATTTATTTAGCTATGATTTGAAATAAATCCATACATTGAAAATAGTACCTTGCAAATCCTAAATTTATGACTATCTTAAACGTGGTTGTAATCAAATTCATGAATATGCTTAGTTTTTCATTTGTTATCTTCTTGTCCTCTTTCCCATTCCTTCTTGTTCCTTTAAGATAAATGTAATGACTAGCTAAAACCATCTAAATTGACATCATATTAAAAGTGAGCTGAGATCACTAAGAATATAACTTTGAAAAGTTATTATTTCATCGGCTGTTGCTGTTGAATTAGCTTGAAATTAAGAAATGATTCTCCGAATAATCCGGCAATTAATCCGAAAATAGCAAACACATTGCGGAAATGTGAGAAGCTGGTAATGACCCCAATAAAGAGGACTGGAGAGTGAGGAAGTAATTCGCAAATTACTCGCTGCAACCCACCAATTAACACATTTTCAGTAGTGCATCTCTTGTATTTCTCAACCAACTGTTCTGCCAACAATTGTTTCATGAGATATTGTACATACATTATTTAGTTCCATGTTCCCGAGAAATAATTTTCGTATGCAGAGTATAGCTTTTTGGTTGAACTGAACTACTCACGTAACCAATCCTTCTGGTTGAAATGAATTAATCGCGTAACTAGACTTCCCAGAAATTGAACTTACTGTTCCTTTCACTTCAAAATATATTAGTCCGTGAAGGGAAATATATCCGTGATATCCATACATATATATATATATATATATATATATATATATATATATATATATATATATATATATATATATATATA